GATGTCCAAGCCCATCTTGAGTAGAGGGAAACATAGAAAGGTGGTTACCTTTTGGGGGATGTTATATCTCTAACTTAGCCCTATCTCTTATATTTAGCATTAGGCTAGACATTTCAGATGTCCATCACACTGAACACTTGGGCTTAAAGGTGTCCAGTCATCTCTTACACAATTCACCACATACAGAATGGATCTTTCTGCTTCTACCCAAGCTTTGCCTCCTCTATTTCTAGTTTATGTTTCCGGCACCGTAACACACATTCTTGTGAAGCCAGAAACCCAAGGTACATATAAGAATTCTTCTCCAACATTGTTTGCATCTGATGTGGCTAACTGGAACAATTCTATCTCCAAATATCCCTTGTATATGGCCTCCTCCTCTACATTTCTGCAGACACAGCCTTAGTGCTGGCTTTCATCATTTATCTCAACAATCACAGTCCCATTCTAACAGATGTAGCCACCTTCAGTACCGTTTTTTGATTTCTTTTATACATTCTACAGACACTTGATGGTCATAACCCAGGTGACAGGCACAGTACAAGGAGCTAGGGCTCAACCCCCCTCTTGGAGCTTATAGTCTGGAGATTAACACAAATGAAAACAGTATATAAACAAATAAAATAGTAAGTGCTGTGTAGACTATAAGTGAGTTAGGGTGATTTAAATTAGGGAGGGGAAATCTGGGAAGGTCTCTTTGAGGTGAAATTTAAGCTGAAACCTTGCAAAGAAAAGGAGCTAGCTATAAAGAGTGAGGTGGAAAATCATTTGGAACAGAGGGAACGTGCAGTGCTATTTGCTGAAAATGTGTTGTGCCTTCAAAGACTCAGAAGAAGAAATGAACGTGGCCTTTCTATGGAATGGAAGAGAACCTCTGTGATTGGAGTGCAGCGAGAGGGGAAGCAAGTGCAGCCGAGTGAAGGAGGAGACATGGGGCGGAGCCAGGGCATGGAGGCCTTGAAGGCCAGTCTCCCACAGCCCGAGAGAGATTTCTGCACTCAGCATAAGATCACGGCACTGCCCCTTTTACACGTTGTCTCCTGTGAATGATGGGATAATGTCCGAATTTTGGGTGATGATATCGAGGGTCCTTCCTGGTCTGGATGCTGCTTGCCTTTTTAGCCCTGGGCCCTGAAACAACACGTGTACAGGTCCCTATACGCTTGAGCTGTGCCTCCTTTTCACATGCCTTCTTTCAATTGGAAAAGCTTCTTCTCTGTGTTGATGACCACCATTTCATCCTCTAAGACTCATCTTAAGTTTTACCGGACTCCGGGTACTGCTCTGTTATTTCATAGGCAAGTCTACTGTAATCTTGGGCTGCTTTCTACATCTCTTCGACCATCCTGTGAACTCTTGAGAATGTGTTGCATCTTATGTGTTGCGATTATCATGGGGCCTTATACAGAGCGGGCCTTGAAAACATGTTTATTGAGAGAGGAAAGAAGGGAGAAAGTCAGGGAGGAAGAGAGGGAAGGAGGGGAGGAGGGAAAAGGGAAGGAGGAGAGGAAGGAAGTTAGTTTTGTCCAAATGCATTGGAATGGAATACATGACATTCAGATTCCATCTAGTCTATTTTTTAATTAAATTTGATTAAAAAAAATTTTATTGAATGACTTTTATATGACACATGAGCCCAATTAGTTGTAAACAATGCTTAATTATCCAAGATGCTCTTAGTAAAGAAATGCAACCTGACATAAAGGAACAAACATTGGCTCTCTAGTTGCGGATATAAGACCGTGAGGTACAGAGCCCCCAAATTCCACTTCTTGAATGCACATTACAGTCAGTGTCCAGTGGACAATGGAGAAGTGCCCACCTTACAAACGAGGAAAACAAGGTTGCCTTTTAAAAGCTGAACCAGTAAAAACTCGATTATCCATCCATGGGAGGTAACTTTGGACTGCAGTACCCCAAACTATTATCTAGGTGACCAATCTGTAATCTAAGCAAAAAGGAAAATGACATAAATAAATATATAATGACAAATAGAGACAAGTGATATGAAAGTAACGATGAACAGAAATAATAAACATTTTTGTCATGACAAAGAAGAATTCTCTAAGTGAACACACTGGTTTTATGGTTTATACATCAGCTCTCTGTGAGTTTGCAAAGTGCAAGTTAGTGCATCTGTCTGTGTGCAGTGACAAAGATGAATATATGACCAGAAGGCTGAAGAATAGTCTCTGAACTGTGGTCATTTCACCAGGGTTGACGTGCTGTGTGACCTTGCCTGGCTGCCAGCTGGCCTGCCCCACTCAGATCTCACTGCAGCCACCCTCAGCCCCCACCACCACACACACACACACACACACACACACACACACACACACACACACACACACACCTCCCATTAAAACAAACGTTTTAGGCCAACGTTAGCACAGGGAGTCCTTTCATCAGGATGACAACACAAGGCCAAGTGCATTCCATTCACGACCAGACATGGACTCAGACTGAAATGTAACTGACATAGCCCGGCTCCTAAGTGACCTTCAGATGCCAGTGTCAGTCAAATGATTCTAAAGAAAAATTAAGCTCAGGTTATATTGCCATATTCATCTGGAATGCATTACTGGATGAAGACATGGAACGGAGATGATTTTTTAGGACTTAGGAGCCAACTCTGTGGTGGATTACAGGGGTGCTCGAAACAGGAGAAAACTAAAATGGCACCCACAAGTCCTAGAAGTCTGTAATGATACCACTGACACTTCCAGTGCTGAAATGTAAGTTCACTTCTGCTTCATGCAAGCATGTACTTGTCCAGAGTAGACTATCAGAAAAGGCCTCTTATTCAATTCACAATGAATATTCAGTCCAACAAGGCTGGAATGCCATGGGAAGAGGGTTTATGGCCTTGAGTTGGTAACTGGAATATCACATGGCTGGAATGACTTTTATCCACATGGCATTCTACTGCACTATAGCATGACATGCCTAAAAAGAACTGAATAAAGTCTAAGGTGTTGTTGCCATTGTGAAGACTCATATCCATCGCACTACACATCATAGTGATGAAACCAAGTATACTTGGTTTTCTCCAGGCTTACGAAGAGTACTGTTGTTTGGGACAAGGCTCTGCTCCTGGAGCGGAAGAACTGCTTTCTTATTTCAATGACTGCATCAACAATGTTAGCCTCCTTGACAAAAGGCTATACACATCTCTGCTGATGTATTTTTGTTTTGTTTTACTTTTTCATTTTTCCTTTTTCTCAGCATCACAGTTTCCTGGTTCGAATTTACCCAAAACTCAATTCTTCTAAAAGACCTAACACCCAAAGTTAGCGAATAATCCCTTTCTCATTTCAATGGTGGACACTTTTAGCCCCTAATTCAAATCAACTGCTGCAATATTTTTGGAGGTTTAATATCCACACTTACATATTTAGTTCTAATATTAAGCTTCAATATTTTTTTTAAAAGACAGCTTACTTGAATACTCTGTGACTACCATCTAGTTCAGGATATTTTTAGTTTTATGTGGACTTTTTAATGTCTGCAATAAAGCAAAATTTTAAGCCCCTAAAAAGTTCATTTGAGGGAAAAAAGTCATGTGTAAAAGTATCGCAAGTGTCTTTCAGTTCAGGTCCTACGGGAGTCTTCTGCTGGGTACCAAAGTAAAGTAAATTTGAGGCAACACAGGCTGAGCCCTGAAGGGCAGTGTGGTTTAAGCGTGTCTCCACTGGTAACCCCATGCTAAATTCTACTGACACCATCTACAAGAGATTGTATTACCACTCAGAAAATATTATCAGTCACATGCCAAAATAAAGATTTACATTTAATTGATTATTTGCAAGACAAATTTCAAAAGATAAGATGGTGTTTGGTCTATTTTTCTAGAGAGTAAGAAAAATATATACGAGTGAAATTTCTTCTCTTTAAATGTCTTATTTCAAATTGAGCCAAAGACAACCAAGCTGAAATAGCATCATTTGG